GGAGTAAATCTGAAATCTCATAATTTTTCCAATTTCCTCTTTTAAAACATAAATTCCTCGATCTTTTATTCTACCTTAAGAGCTCAAAAAGATGTCAAGTGTCAATATCAAATAAATAAGAAATACAATAAAATTTTCCGGGCATCAGTGAAAGGTTTATCTCGTGAATATTTGGACTACTAGCGATATAACGCACGATTGTACCGAGGTCGTTCGGCCCGATCCAGAGTGGTGTGTACACTGCCGAGGGTCGAACGACACGAACCAGAGATGCACCTCTATATATTACTGAGGTGTTCGGCCCGCTCCACAATAAAGGAAGAAAGTTTCCGAATCACAAGGCACATGTTTACAATATAGTACATGAGCACAAAGTGAATATAACCTTTACCGTTTTCTCAATTTTTCTTGCCAACAATTCATGTGATAAGGCTCGACCTAAGATGTATGAAATTTCTAAATCAAGTTCAATCATATTTCCAATTAATTAAGTCAACATAATAAGTTCAAGAAATTCAGATTTTGCATGATAAAATTCTAATTCTATCCGGACATAAAAATGCTTTAGCTACATATAGACTCTCGTCACCTCATGCGTACGTAGCACCCACAACTAGTAGCACATAAAAATTAGTATCACCTAGGGGGTAGTTTCCCCCTCACAGGGTTAGACAAGAGACTTACCTCGCTCCGAAGTTCCACAACCGACTCCAACGCTACTCTAACACCTCAAACCAATACTTGACGATCCAAAACTATGCAAACAATGTGCAAACCAATCAAAATGTGTTCTAATACCCATAATTAATCAATTTAAACAATTTCCAACTCCGCTCGAAAAGTTGATAAAATCAACCCTCAGGCCCACGTGCCCAGATTTCGAAAATATTCGAAGATAAACTTCACCCATAACACCACAACCTCAAATATATGATTTATTCCAAATTCCATGTCCAATTTCGTAAATTCTCTTCTTTAAATTCACATATAAACCTTATATTTAGCTCACAATAAGTGGAAAATTACTTACCTCATGTTATATGATGAAAACTCCTCAAAATCACCCAAGAACCGAGCTCCAAAAATCCAAAATGAAGTGGGGAAAAAGACCAAGTTCGACCCCTTAATAATCTGCCCAGTTTCGCTTATGCGGCCAATTATCCGCACCTGCGGACCCGCTTCTACGGTTAAACCTCCACTCCTGCGGAATTCACTTACCCATCATGCCTTCACTTCTGCGACCCTTGCCCCGCATCCGCGCAATTGTATGTGCGGAATTCACCATCGCACCTGCGAGCATTCCGCTCCTGCACCCCTAACGCCGCATCTGCGCCCACGCAGGTGCGAGAAATGACCTTACACCTACGACCTCTGCTCACCTCCTCTGTGCCCACTTCTACGGCCCTCTTCCCGCTTCTGCGGGCTCGCACCTGTAGTGCCCACTCCGCATATGCATTTACACTAGCAGTTGCAAATTCTTCATCAACTCTTCAACTTCAAACCTTGTTCCAAAAATCATCCGAAATCAATCCGAGTCCCCCGGGACCTCGACCAAACATACCAACGGGTCCTATAACACAATACGAACTTAGTCGAACTCTCAAATCACCTCAAACAACATCAAAAATATGAATCACACATAGATTCAAGCCTAATGAACTTTGAAACTTTCAATTTCTACAACCGACGCCGAAACCTATCAAATCAAGTCCACTCCCTGTCAAACTTCCAAAAAAATATCCAAATTTCAAAATTTCGCTAATTGATGCCGAAAAGACCTACGGACTTCCAAATCAACATTCGGACACGCTCCTAAGAACAAAATTACCATACTGAACTATTTCCAGACACGGAATCCCAAACAGACATCGATAACATAAAGGTCCACTTCAACCCAAACTTAGGGAATTTTTAAACCTTCAAAATGCCAATCTTCCGTAATAAGTGTCGAAATACTCCCGGGCCACCCGATACTCGACCCGAATATACGCCTAAATCCGAATTCATCATACAATCCTATTGGAACCTTCAACTCCAGATTTCGAGGTCATTTACTAAAAAGTCAAACCTTAGTCAATTCCTCAAGGTTAATGCTTCTAAAATTAGAATTTTCTTTCCAAATCAACTCTGAACTTCCTTAAATTTAATTCCGACCACAAGTATAAGTTATAATACCTGAAGTGAAGCTACTAAAGACCTCAGACCGCTGAACGGCGTGCTAGAAATCAAAATGACCGGTTGGGTCGTTACAAAGCAGCTATTGCATACATAAAAGATCCTAAGTATCACAGCAAGACCAAATACATTGACATCAAGTATAACTTTGTGAGAGACATGGTAGCAAGTTTAGAGATAAATTTATAGTACATTCCTACGCGAAGCATGATAGCTGATCCTTTTACAAAGGCGATATCTACAGACCTGTTTGAAAAACATGTAATGGCTCTAGGTTTGCGAAGGATATGAATATATATTTATGTATTGTAAAATGACTTGATTATTATAATATGCTCATCGATATTTGACTCTTGAATTTATGCTTATATCTCGTATGCACGTGATGAAATGTTTGTTGATAAAGAGTGTGCGAACAAGTCACGAGATTGCTCTCTCTCACGAGCAATCGCCTCTTACGTTAAGAATCGTGAATAGATGAGACCTTATAGAACCTTGGATAATACGAGGTTATATGTACTTATTAAGGTCGGTCTTGACAACTGGTCAGACTTACAAATTTTAATATTCGATTATGACTTGTTTTGTAAGCGAGATACGAGTTTCTCCAAAAAGTTGGATTTGAGGATTATTAAAGTGAGAAACTCGGGTTAGACATTTGGAGGTATCTAGACCAAGATCTGTATGGTGTTGAATAATTAAAATAATAAGACACGCACCAATATAAGGTGAGAACACCGTACTATGTATTTCATACCACGTGTGCTATCGACTATGGGATAACGGAAGAATGAATCCCTGCTTCTTCATTGTGTGAGATCCCAAAGAAGTTATATTAACCTTTATTGAAATACCCTTTGACCTTTTACTGTCTCTTGAAGTGCCAATCAGTGTTGCTACTTTAGCATGTCACTAATAGCCATGAGTGATTCAGCAATGCAATGCATGTCTAGGAAAGCGGTTGATTTGAAATGGAAAGATTCAAGTAAAAAGGGTAGACAACTAAAAAGAAATTTGTTTTGGTAACTTAACTTGTATTCATAGGTCGACCATTACACTTACCATGAGGGTATCAAATGTAATTATGAATACAAAGTTATTCATGAACTCAAGTTCACCTACTTTCTAGGATGAGGGATCAGATAACAAGCTATAAGAGTGGCAAATGATGTATGGGGTATTGTGAGTAATAAGTTCCTCATGCTAGTAGTGAATCCTTTCCGTATGTTATTGTATTTATACATAAAGCTTTAGTACAACCTTTAATTGGTTTTGGAATGTTATAGCTCTTTGTGCTCGCAGGTCGCACCAACTATTTGACGGTATAAACTATGTGTCAAAGACATCGGTCTAGCCCACTATGAGCAAAGTGGAAAATGTTTGACTATGGGTTGTGGGTCGCTCCATGTGGGCTGACATGACCCGGTTAGGAGAAATAAATGAGAGAGGTTATGGGAAGTTACCACTAAATCACAAACTCCCACTAAAGTAAACATACAAAAAGGGAGTGGTGAGTTTTCTTCCTTAACCACTATTACTCTACCTATTTATGTTAAGGAGAAAACATAGAATTTTCAAGCGTTGGAATTTTCTCTCTGACTAATCTTTTCTACAAGAAAAATATACACAAGTTAGCGCATCTAATTGGTGAAAGATTAACTTTGTTTCCTAGTGATTCAAAGGTATATTTGGAAAAATTCTTTTGGTGGTGAGTTCAATGGTTTTCACTGCGTCAATAAGGTACACAACTCGTTGTTCTCGCCCCGTTATTATCTAATATACAAAGAATATGTAAAAATTAGATGTTGTTTCTTAGAGGCATTGCACTCTTGATACCCTTCCTAGAAGATGGTCGAAGTATATATGGTGCTCTTTGTGTGTATTCTTTAATTGTGTATGGTAGTATTTCATATTTATTTCCAAAAAAACAAAATGTTAGCTGCTAATGTGCGATTTTCATAAGTCTAAAAATAATAATTTTGACAAATACTTTAACTTAGTCGTTACTTTAATTTGAACATTTACAATATACTTCTAAATATTTGAATGTAATTTACAAAATAAACTAAGCATATGCCAATTTTGAGTCCAAACATAGATGTGATCGTATAAAAAATTCCACGACTTTCTCTCTCTAACTAATTTTCTCTGACTTCTCTCTATGCTTTGCCGACTTCACTGGAGAATTAGAGGTCCCTCACTCGATCCACCACCACAAAATACCAATCAAAATTCGATACCTCACCATCATAATCCACCTACCACCAACTCAACACCCCAAACCACTCCATCAAATTACCCCTTCTCATAACCAACATCCTCCCAAATTAGACACGAAGATGCGGTCCATATGGATGGCACAAATGTTAACTCAACACTAAATCCCAAACTCCCAAATACCCAAAAATATAGCTCTCTTCCACCACAATTGAAGGTTTCCAGTAACTTTGACC